ACGTACTTAATTTTATATACTTTTGTAACGTATGAAAATTTAAAGTTAGCATAAATTACTTTCAAACTGTGGGTGGGGAGGGGGATTTTGAAGTTGGTCAGGCACTAACAGGTGGGCCGTTGATTCTCTCAAGTGAAAGTGGAAAATGTCTTTCATTTGAATCTGCTTTTTTGTGTGTTCCTCTCTCTCCCCTTTCCCCCAGGCTGGGATCAGAACCACTAACTGAGATGAGTGGGTTATTTGATGACTCACTTTGCTTGTTTTGACCTTTCCGTGCCTGTGGCTAATTGATTCTGCGTGCTGGGGATCTGCAACATTAGTCTGCTCCCTCTTTCAGAAGGGCCTGTTTGCAGGAGATCACAAGGATTCATGAGATACCATTAGTGAACTGCGCATTTGGAGCAAGTACTTTCTTGACCAGCCCGGGGCTGGCCCAGCGATCGTGAGCTCGAGCTCGTTAATGAGCCCAGCAGCTCAGGGATGGATGCCATGTCAGCCTAAGGAGCTGTGTTGCTACTTGCAGACAGAACTGGCTTCCTGCTGGTAACACCCTGAGGCCCCTTGGAAATTTCTTTTTACATTTTTCATTTACTCATTTTTCTTGAATTACAAAAATTTGTAAACTAGGTTAAAAATTACCTATAATGTAGTCAGGTAAAAAAAAATAGAGTTTTGTGGCATCCCGTTTATATCTTTGCTCATGTGCATTTTTTTCATGATCATAAACTGTTCATATAATGATTTTTTTTTAAAAATTTTTATTGATTTCAGAGATGAAGGGAGAGAGATAGAAATATCAATGATGAGAGAGAATCATTGATCGGCTGCCTCCTACACACCCCACACTGGGGATCAAGCCCACAACCCAGGCATGTGCCCTGACCATGAATTGAACTGTGACCTCTTGGTTCCTAGGTCAACACTCAACCATGCCAAGCGGGCTCATATACTGATTTAATCTTTTTGCATAGAAGGGAATTTTCAGCTGTTAAAGTTGTCTGTTAAATTAGCTCAGAATTGTCTTAATGACTACATAATATTCCATTAAGCAGATGAGTTATACCTTATTTAGCAATGTTCTCATGTGAACAGTTGTCTTAAAATTTTCTTTTGTAAATTTTGTTGAATCTCAAAATATTTGGAAGCTACCTCATAATGTCTTAGTGAGGATGACACATATGTCACATATAAAATCAATTCTTGCCCTCCGTAAATTTATAATTCAGAGCAGGTGACCACTAAGTGTAATAAAATGTGATTGTTACTGTATCAGCAATATGTCCAAATTGCTTTAGGAGAGCATGGGAGGACATTGGTAAAACCTTCCTAGCGGAGGTGTTTGAGTTATATCCTGAAGACAGTCAGGAATGAACTAGGTAAGAAATGACAGAAAAGCTTTCTAGGAAGAGAAGACTTCTTGAAAGAAGCACAGAAGATGGCAAGGCATGATGCATTTATGGAATGGCAGATAGTCTAATAGGGCTAGAGATACCACAGTAGGGCTAGAGAATGGGTGAGTTGCAGGAAGTGATACTATATACATGCATGCTCTGGTCCGATTATAAGAGGCATTCTGTACCACACTGAAGAGTTGGAAATTTACACTGAAGGCCATAGATATGTGGCCACAGCCATGGCAGGGAGCACTTGCTAAGTAAGAATGTGGGTTGTTTTGTTTTTTAATATTTCTTTTATTGATTTCAGAGAGGAAGGGAGAGGGGGAGAGAGAAAGAGAGAGAAACATCAATGATGAGAGAATCATTGATCGGCTACTTCTTCACACCCCCTACAGGGGATCAAACCTGCAATCCGGGCATGTGCCCTGACCAGGAATCAAACCGTGACCACCTCCTGGTTCATAGATCAATACTCAACCACTGAGCCACACTGGCCAGGCAACAATGTGGTTTTTGAACACAGCAACACCTCATTACTTTAGCAAACTTTCTAATAAGTGTGTTGAAATCTAGGCTGAAGGCTGAATATGGTGCACATAGCTTTCTTCGTGATCATTTGTATTTGTCAAGAGAAAACACTGTGGTAGCATGTTTCAGTCCTAAGGGTGCACTTTGGGTGCTTAGACCACCCCAAAAGCTACTGGGACCTCTTTGGAAAATAACTCGGGGACAGGCATCATTTGCTTGATATTTAGTATGTGTATTAGTTGGTACTTTTAGGTTGACAGAACCTTAACTGAGATGAATGCAAACAGAAAGGAGAATGTATTAGCCCCTTAGTCTAAAAGTGGCTCTTCCTGGCTTCAAACACAGTGGGATCTGGGGACTCTAACCATGTGGGTAAAGCTTGTTCCCTCCCCCCCTCCCCCCATTGGTGTCTCTCTCCATCCTTCATTCTGTGTCCCTTTATTCTTTCCTATATCAACCAACTCTTCTCTGTGACCAGGGAGAGTAGCTGCAAAAAACTCCTGCTTATGTTAACTCTTGGAGCTCACATCCCAAAAGAATAGAGTCCTTCACTCTTCCTCCCATGATTCATGAAATTTCAGGGAATCACATGCCCCTTCCAGAACCAGCGTGGAGTACTCCGATTGGCCAGGTCTGGGGGAGCCCAACCAAAGTGAGTGAGTAGAATAGCAAGGAGAGTGGGCTTCTGTTCCTAGAAGGAGGAGGAGAGTAGGAGTAGAATTCTTTAAGGACATCGACTACTGTTCAGTGTTGTTCTTCGGAAGAGTGGAAATGTTTAATGGAAAAAAGTAGACCTATCGCTTGTCTGAGAGCTGCCTTTGTGCATGTTCTTGTGTTTATCCAGATCGTGAGTACTCTCAGCACATGCGGGAAAGTGGCCCCTTGCCCAATTTTCCTTAGCACGTAGGCTCAAGACAATGCCCTCCTTCCCAAAAGGCCTCTGGCATTGTCCTCTCTTTCTTGGAGATGTCTGATTTATGTTCTGTCAGGGACAGGAAGCTGCTCGAGTGATCCACCCAGCCCTGCGGCCCTCGTGACGGTTTGTTTTTCTTATTGTTCAGCGTTCCATTAGCTTCCGCAGCGAGAGCCGTCCTGACATCCTCACCCCCCGGCCCTGGTCCAGAAATGCCGCCCCCTCGAGCACCAAACGGCGAGACAGCAAGCTGTGGAGTGAGACCTTCGACGTGTGCGTCAATCAGATGCTTACATCCAAGGAAATCAAACGTCAGGAGGTAGGCGTGGGGCCCACGGAGTTGACCGTGTGCCTGGCGGCAGGTGCACTGCAGGTCTACACCCCTTTTCCAAATCCATTCTCCTTGGCATGTGTAGAAGGAAGACAAATGGGGGTGTCAGACCTTTTAAGGAACCGAGAAACCAGCATTCAGCTGGGTGGGTGTGGCCCCCACTTGAAAAAGAAACTGATATGAACATCTGGATTTACAAAGAAAGTGAATTGGGACGTGTCTGTTTTCGATCCTGGAATTCACAAAAATAATCATAATCATTTAGTGATATTTTAATAGCAATTTCTATAATATTTTAAAATATTCAGTTAATGAAACTTTGATTCAGTGTTGTGGAAAACTCTTCTGGGGAATGCAGTTAATTTCATTTCCGATAAGTTTTCTGTACCAATAGCCCTAAATGGCTATGATCATATTACCCTTTATGGAGAGTTCATCCCGTGCCAGGCTGTGCTAAATACTTCAAATGTGCATCATCTTGTGAAATCCTTAGAATTTATATTTTTTGAGGCAAATTTGACCTTGGAAAAGGGAGTACTTGAAAATTTTCTAGGTTTTTGACTCAGCAATTCTTTTCTAGGAATCTATCTGCCAGGCACACTTATACACAGATGAAAAGATGTACGTGTGAGCTCATTCATCACAGTAACGTTTATAATAGTGCCAGAAACAGCCTGAACATCTATTACCAGGGAGTGGTTGAATAATGAATGTCCATACATGGAATTCTGTGTAGCTGTAGAAACACACAAAAAGTGCTGATATGTATGAATGGCTGAGTGGATAAAGCAAAGCACAAAATAGGGTGAAGAGTATGCTACTATTTATGTGAAATAAGAAGGAAGGAAAAATGAACGTATGTGTTTTTAAGTATATATTTGCTTTTAAAACCATAAAACCATAACCCACACCTGCAACCTATGTTCATGTTGACCAATATCACCCCAATCAATTTAATAAATAAGTAATTTTTTTAATTTAAAAACATATAATATTTCTGGAAGGAACACAAGGAACTGGTAACATTGTTGCCTCCTCGGAGGGGAACTGGGTGGTTGGAAGGAGGTGAGAGGGGAAAGTTTTCAGCAAGTGTAAATTTGTGCACTCTAAATTTTGAACCTAAGCAATGCATTGTCTATTTTAAAATGAGTAAATAAAGCATTTATTTGCACTCAAAAAGTCCTGTGAGGAAATATGGCAAGATCTGAATGATGGTTAACGAGATGATATTCTGGGCATTCAAAAAAATGTTCTCTTTATACTTTTCTGTGTTTTCTGAGGGTGACTAGTGTGCATGTATTACTTGTACAGCCTGATAGTGGGAAGGAAGGAGGGAGGGACTGATTCTGCAGGTGAGGAAATCAGCAAGCACAGTGAGCACCAGAACATTGCAGAGCCAGCCTCTGAACCCAGGTCCTGTCCTCTTCCAAAGCCCTCGGTCTGCAAGGTGACACTGTGCTGCCCCCCACAGATAATTGACTGTGGCCTAGCCCATTGTGGAGTTCTGTGATTTTCCTCTTCTGGGGTCACATTTGGTCAGACAGGCTATGTACGTGAGCTCTAGTAAAACAGGTGTACAAGGTGAGGAAGGCCCAAGTAAAGGCTAGTTAAGGATGTTGTGCCAATGCACTTCCTGGTTCTGTAGTTATATAAGATGCCACCATTCGGGGAAGCTGAAAAGGCTGTGTACCAGACTTCTCTGTACTATTTGCTTAACTTCACACGTGAGTCTATATTTCAAAATAAAAGATTAAACAAAATAGAGTAGCAGGAGGGCATGGCGTCAAGGCCTTACTAGGCCTCGGAGGGACACCGTGTACTGGGCCCCAGCGAGTGTCCAGCTCCACCAACCCCAGGAATGGAGGGGTTCTCCACCCTGCTCACTTCTGCCCTGTCGTCTAAAAGAAATGTAGGAGTCCCCGAACTAGCACCACCAACATGGAGTCTTTTCATAATGTAATGTTTGCCACCATTTAGACTCCCAGAGGAGAGTGGAAGAGCATTCTGCACACCATAGCCTTTAAATTATGATGGCTTAATAGAGCCAAATTGGACATGGTCCCTTTATGCACTCTTGCACATAGCCAGCTCCTGTAATTTTATTTATTGTACCGTGTAGGCCTGCAAAGTAATTGAGAATGAATTAACTTCACCGGACATTTAGAGCGATAAAATATTAGACTCTTCCTATAATTCCAGCCTCAGGACAAGAGTTGATAGGAAACGCTTTCCGTTGAGATGCACCTTGTGTTGAGTAGAAGGAAGACAAATTGTGATGGCCCAATTAATAATGCTGCCACATCCATCACTGAGAGCAGACCCTGAATCCTTCACTATGATTGCCACTCAAACTCGTATCCGTGGCTCAATCTGTAATTATTTTACCTAAAATAGTTCCCTCTTGTTTGGCTGCATCAGAGATCTATAACATGAAAGATGACTTGTTGGATTGGAAACATATGTTGGAACCCCCTTTATCCCACAAACAGATAAGCACATTATACAGAAGTTTTGCAAAATCTTTCCTTTGTAGTTTTTAGCCACTCGATACATTTGCTGCAGGTCAATTTAACTTCTTAAGAATCCTTTAAAAATACTTAAGAAGTAAGTAGATTTGGAGCTTTGAGCACTGTTTGAATTGGATCTCATAAATGAGATGCTTCAGTGGATGTATTTTATCTTTTCTCGCAGGCGATCTTTGAGCTTTCCCAAGGAGAAGAAGACTTAATAGAGGACTTGAAATTGGCAAAAAAGGTAAATTTAAATCCAGTGGTCATGTGAGTCACCTCATGTTTTTTCCCTCTAACTTCACAATTCTAAGGTTGTCTTTATGAGCACTCTTTTTATGACTAAGGTCATCCAAAATTGAGAAGAACCTGCACAAACCAAGCAGTGGGGGAAATGGCTCAAAACAAGAAGGCTCTCTGGACCTGGCACCTTTAGGGGTTCTCCTCTGCATGCTTCTAGTGCACCTCAAAGAATACTTCAGTTTAATCGGAAAGTGTTGGTGGAGGCCTGGCTTTACATATGTTTTGTTGTCCTAGAAGTTTCACGTGCAGAGCCTCCTTATCCACGGGAGAGAAAGTGTAAATGGTCTGAAACTGGAATTGTGTGTTAGAAATAGTCATTTGAATCTCATAAGTGGATAATATGGTTAAGTGAGTCACTTGTGTACTATCATGTAAGTTAGGGTCTTTTATATGGAAACTAGAGGCCAACATTTGTGCACTGGGGAGGGGGAGTCCCTCAGCCTGGCCTGCGTCCTCTTGCAGCCTGGGAGCCCTCGGGGGGATGTCAGACATCCTTAGCGCTGCCATGGGCTTCTGGCTGAGCGGCTCTCCCCCTGTGGGAGCTCACTGACCACCAGGAGGCAGCTCCTGCGTTGAGCGTCTGCCCCCTGGTGGTCAGTGTTCATCATAGCAACTGGTCATTCTGCCATTTGGTCAATTTGCATATTAACCTTTTATTATATAGGATTTGTTTTTTAATCACATTGTGTGTGGGAAGGTGGATGAATCCCATGCTTTGTAGCCTATATAGTGCTTTTTTTTTTCTTTTCATTCTCACCTGAGGATATTTTTCCCATTGATTTTTTTAGAGAAAAAGGAAGGGAGGGAGAAAGGGGGAGAGAGAAAGAAATATTGATGTGAGAGAGACACATCAATTGGTTGCCTTCTGCACCTGCCCTGACTAGGGCTGGGGATCAGACCCGCAACCCAGGTATGTGCCCTTGACTGGGAACCAAACCCAGGACCCTTCAGTGCATGGGCCAATGCTCTAACCATTTAGCTATACCAGTCAGGGCTTGAACTATTTCTTAAACATATATTTAACTTTCCGTGTGTTTTTCTTATCTTCCCAATTAGCTTTATAAATCTTGAAGGCAGAGACTGTGCCATCTGAGTCTTTGTATTCTATTACAGTACCCTGGAAATAATTGGGTGTTCTTGTGGGTTAATTATCACTAATAAGAGGTGGTAATAATGTAAAATTTTAAAACATACATATCAAATCTGCTCTATACTTAGGATTTGTGTCCTTTCCTAGATGTATGATACACTAGAATTTTTTTTTAAAAAAATCTACTTTGGTTTATCAACAACCACAAAAGGCTCAAGGCAATGCTGGATTCCCATCTGCTCCAGCCACACCCATCTGCTGTTTCTGCAGCATTATGGGAGAAGTTGTTGGGGAGAGCCAAATATTTTGTTATTCTCAGGGCCTCTCAGAAACCATTTACATTAACAACTTACTTCCTCCGAGTTTAAATGTTTGCTTCCATCTCTTGTGGTTCTTGCACAGGCCTATCACGACCCCATGCTGAAACTCTCCATAATGACAGAACAGGAGTTGAATCAGATTTTTGGAACACTGGACTCTCTGATTCCTCTACATGAAGGTATAATTTTGTTCCAAGGATGAGTTGTGACTTGTAGCCTTAATTGAGCTGTCTTATACAAGTCATGATTATGTAATAATGTGAGTAACCCAGAACCTACCTCCAGCCTCCTTCATATTTGAATGCCTAACAAAGTAAGTGTTCTGTTTGTTTACCAGAGCTCCTTAGTCAGCTTCGAGATGTCCGGAAGCCTGATGGCTCAACTGAACACGTCGGTGCCATCCTCGTGGGCTGGGTAAGAAAAGTTCTCTGGTCTTGATTGAAGATAAATTTCAATAATTTAAATGGAGTTTCATATTAGCTAGACTTCTCTTTTTATTAACAAACATCGATTTCACACCAGAAACAAATAAAACAGCAAATTCCTAGTAAAATTTATCATTATAGTTAGGCTGTAGCTCTTCAAAGCAGGGAAATAATTTTTTTTCTTATTACACATTTACTGCATTTAAAGAGAACATGCCCCTTTATTTCAATAAAATAAAGTAACATTAGTTAATGTTCTATTCAGGCCAATTATAATATAATTATTACCAATTCTATTCCAGTACAAAGTTAGGGACATATTCCTATCCATCATCATAAAAAAACTTTTAAATATTTTTAAAAATATATGTTTATATTGATTTTTTAAGAGAGAGAGGAAGGGAGAAAGAGAGAGAAACATTGATGTGAGAGAGAAACATCCATCAGTTGCTTCCTGAAAGCACCCGATCAGGGATTGAACCAGAAACCAGGGTAGGTGCCCTGACGGAGAATCAAACCTGTGACCTTTTGGTTCATGGGTTTAAGCTCAACCACTGATCCACACTGGCCAGGGCCATAAAAAAACTTTTATTCAGGCTGTCAAAAACCTCTTATAGCCAAATGTAGTTTCATAAACAGGTGATAACTAAATGTTGTTGTTGTTTAGCATATATCTGATTCTAAGTAACTTCATAGAATGCTGACCTTCATCTCAATATCACCCCTTTTCTTTCCTAATTGAAGAGATCAGCTGCAACCTTAGATCAGGGCTTCTAAATGTATGGTCCTGGGCTGAACGTGTGTTTTATTGGGTCCATAAGGTGGTTGTTCATTTGACTGATTTGTTTTAGACCAGGCATGTACTCTCTATTTTGCCACAGGCCCCATCACTCCTATGGCATGCTTCTGTTTCCCTCTGTGAATGCTTGAGTGTTCTACCCCAGCCCCAGGTGTTTTCCATTTGTTATGAACCAGGTAGTGAAAGCAGAGTACTCTGATGACTTCTTCCAGTCAGGATTAGGCCTCTCATCCTTCTGATCCACACAATGATCTAGAACAGGGCTGGGAACCTTTTTTCTGCCAAGGGCCATTTGGATATTTATAACATCATTCCCAGGCCATACACAATTACCAACTTGAAAATTAGCCTGCTCTGTTTGGTCAAACATTTAATTAACTCACCCCTAATGCTTGCGCAGGGCCAGACCAAATGATTTCGAGGGCCTTATAATGGCCCGCAGGCCAGACGTTCCCCACCCCTGATCTAGAAAATAGGCAGATAGTGCCACAACAGCAGGGATTAGGGTCATCCGCTGTTTGGAGAATGTTGTGAAGGTTATGAGCTCTACTCTTACCATGTGCGTTCTCTTTATCCAGTTCCATTTGCATTTGTGTTTTAGCCTTCCCAAAACCTTCTGGTTCCTAAGTTTTGACATTGATCTCTTATAGTAACTTATGCTTCTCAATTACTGCCTTGATCCAGAAACTTTGAGGGTTTCATGACTTAGCTAGCGTTAGTTCGGGAGTCAATTTTAGCAGAGAGGCTGAAATATCCCAAGGGCTTCTGAAAGGCAAGTAATGTTCTCATATGAATAATTTAGGAAATGTGCTTTAATATTTCAGGAGAGGTCATTCATCTTATATTTTTGACTTTCATTTTATTATAAGCTGTGGTAGATGTTTTAACTTCTTTAGCCCACAAAGAAATTTCTCTAAAGAGAGCCAGACAGCTGGAGACAGAGAAGGTGCAATGAGAAGAGAGGGTGTGCTCACTGTGCTTACACTTCTGAGTCTGTGGGCTGCTTTGATGGGGGCCAGGGGCCAGGGAAACCCCACTCCAGAATCAGCGTGGTGACTGCTGTTTCTGATGAGATGGCCACATGGAGCTGCATGGTTTCCTTAGACACCAACATACAAATTGTCAGTTTGTATCAGAAGCAAAAGTATAGGCATTTGCCTTATTAATTTTTTTTTTTCTGAAAGAAATGTTTGTCACTTCTATTAGAACATTGGTCTGCTCGAGGGGTAGCTTTTGCAGTCCTTTGGGCCCATTGCTATCTGCATCCTTCAGACATCAAGTGGGACTTGCAGCTTGAGGAGCAGCCTAAAATTAAACAACTGGCCCGTTGTTACCAGACCTCATAGAAACGGTCCTTGTTTATCAGGCTGACGAGCTGTTAAATGTTTTCCCTCTTTTAACTGCAGATGTGTCCGTGCGAGTGGGAACTGTAAACCAAAGGGTACATCTGTTTGAGTTCTGGTCTTTTTAACAGAACAAAATAAACATCTTAGTGGACTTTGAATGAGAAAAGTCAGAGCCCATTTGACCCATGAAAAATTGATTTATTCCCCCCATAAGAAAAAGAGGGGGAAAAAACCCTTTTAAACAAGTGAGTCTGCCAAGTGGGTTAGCCCTGACCAGTCCTTTTGACCTTTGAATGAATCAATTACTTTTACTTTGAAAGCCTTATAGGAGTGGTGGGGTTTTTGGGTGGTTTTTGTTTTTCAGGGAACCTCCCTGGGTTCTAAGATCAGTCTCCCTAAGGGGTCAGCCTGCTCTCATCAGCCTCCCCATCATAAAGAAACAACTTCCCAAGTGACTCATCTTCACACTAATACTTCTTTCAGTAATAAAATAATTGATAAACTCTCCAAGGCACAAGTTCTCATGTTAATTTGGGTTTTAATTCAATTTTAATTCCAAGGAGAGAGGCAGGGCACATGAAAGCAAAAATATAGATTTGTTCTGTGTCACTTTTCACAATGCTAGGGAGATAGAAGGAATTTCTAAAAAAAAGAAAAAGTGAGCTTCCCTTATAAATTCTTTCTTGATAGTCTATTTAAAGAGATGGTGAGTGCAGAGCTTTGCAGGTGGGATGGGGAGAGAACACACTCAGACTGGTTTTGTCTCCAGCTGAGCATGTAGTCTTGCTTCTCTAAACCACAGTTTCTTCCATAAGAATATTCTAGGGATAAATAATAATAATAGCTGGCACTTACCGATTCTTAACCAGGAACCACGTTCGTGCTACACTTTTTATTCTGCTTATTTAACTAAAGGAGGGGAGGACATTAGTCTATGCATTTTGTAAGTGGAGAAACTGAGGCTCCGAAGGGTCACGTGACTAGTAACAGCCTGAGTTATGGCTTTGAAACGATTCTCCCTGATCCCAGTCTGTCCTCTTAACCACTGTGTTGTCTGTCACCTCTCACATTTCACGTAAGTACACGTGTATGTAATTGGGAACCAAGATGTGTACAGTCTTCATTTCCTATCTAGCTATAGATCACCTGTGGCCTTGTCTAGTCAGTGGACTGCACCAGATAGCCTTGCAGGTCATGCCCAGGAAATGAGCACCCTGTCAGGTGTGAACACAGGACCAGAGCCCGATTTGGTTGCCATGGCAGCAGGGGCGGCAGGATCAGAGAGTAATGGCTCATTGGGCAGCGAGCAGCAGTGTCTTTGGGGCCTCCTCACTGGTTTACATCCGATGGTTACTGCTGATTTCTTTCTCTATAATGACCACATTAGACATTTCCAAGTCTCTTTAAAGGCGAGGAAGTGGAAATGAAATCGAGAGGGCCTGAGGCTCCTTTTAATTAACTCTGAAAATCTAAATTACAACCCACAAACCACATCTACTGTGTGTGTGTGTGTGTGTTTGTGTGTGTGTTTACATACGCGTGCGCGCACCAGTTATTACTTTCATATACAAGGATACGGAAAAAATGTCTGCAACTCTTTTTTAACACAAATAGAGGTTTTCCATAACATGTAAAGAAGGTAGACATTTCCAAGGAATATTAAACTCAACAGTGAACTTTTTAAACATTGCTTCCTTGGTATCTTTTTTTTATTTCAGTCACTGAAAAAATAATTTCAATAAGAGGTGTAAAAGAAGCAGCAGAATATTTAAACTTTGACCCACGGTTCAGATGCTGCCACAACTTATTTTTAAGCCGTGTTCCCAAACAATCAAATATTACCTAATCTGGTAATCCATTAAACATTCATTTGTTAATTCAGAATGTAAACTGCTGTATAGTAGGCCCAGTGCAAAGTGCTAAGGTTAAAGAAACAGAAGACTCTCTTGCCCTGTCTTGCACTGAATCCCACTGCAGAGCAGGAGTCGTGGTGGATGTGGCTTCGTAGTCCGAGGGACAGAAGAACACAGCAAGGCCGTTGACTGCATTTTATTGCCTCCAGGAACTTTCTGGAAGCTGACAGCCAGTGCATTAGGATGCATGGTATAGGGTGCCTCTTTGAGGGAGAAGTGGAAAAGGGAGGTGAGCAGCCCTTTCCCTGAGTCTCTGACTCCGTGTTTGCACGATTGGACTGATGGGACACCTCAGAGAGATTAGTATTTTGCTGGAAGGAGAGAGTGGAGTTGAAGTGTTCCAAAGTCTTTAAGCTTAAGTTGTTTTTTGCATGGTAGTATGATGTTAACCATTGGGTAGAGCCAAGAATGACTTCTGGCCTGTCAGGACTAATTTAAAAGATTTTACTAAATGCTTCTTGCATCAGATTTTTTACTAATTACATTTTTGCTTTAATTTCTTGGAGTTCCTTATAATCTGTCCACCTTTGAATCAGTCACCCTTAACCTAACGTCGAGGTGCTTTTTCCAAGCTGTGCCAAGGGCTGGCTGCAGAGTCTGGCTGCTTGCTTTCTTTTTACGCCACTAAGTCTTCTAGATGTGTTTCTTATGAATAATTTTAAAAGAAATTTTTTAATAGGAGCTTCTCCCCTCACCAGGTACTTTTGGAAGTTTAGGAAAATTATGAACTACATGCACATACAATAATTTTAGTTCTTTTGTTTCTAGCTTAGCTTAGCAGAAATGCAAACAAATTAGGATAGGGGTCTTAACTATCAAGAAAGTAAACACGCAACTAAGACAATTACTTTGTGCAAGCAAATCGGAGCCAAAAAACACTGTTCCATTGTCATCTTGAAAAGTCCACTGGTCTGTGTCCTTCAGCCTTTGCAGATAAAGGAACGTGGGCCAGGCCCAGAGACCACTTAGGTTTTGTTCAGTCCCAGCAAGTGATGTCAATTGTAGCTCCAGTGATTGTAACACTCCAACCCTCTTCTCATGTTCCTTTCTTAGCTGCCTTGTCTCAGCTCCTACGACAGCTACTGCAGCAATCAAGTAGCCGCCAAAGCTCTGCTGGACCACAAGAAACAAGACCACCGAGTCCAGGATTTCCTTCAGCGATGTTTAGAATCCCCCTTCAGCCGCAAGCTAGATCTATGGAATTTCCTCGATATTCCAAGGAGCCGCCTGGTAAAATACCCTCTGCTCCTTCGAGAAATCCTGAGGCACACGCCAAATGATAACCCAGACCAGCAGCACCTGGAAGAAGCTGTAAGTTTCTTTCTTTCTCTCCTGCCTTATTATTTTCCCCCATGGGACGGTAGAGGATTAGGTAAATGGGTGAATGAAGGGTCTCTGGGCACATGGGCTTCAGGAAACTTGAATTCTAGGCCTGGCTCTGTTATCAACCATATATATATATTTTTATTTTGCAAGTCACTTCTCCTCTCTCAGTTTCCTAATCTATAAAATGTAGTGTTTACGTGCAATGCACTCTAAAGTTCCTTTGACGCTACAGTTTTTTGATTCTGCAATCTGTTTGTTACCATTGCTGTGAGGGTTAAAATCTCTGTGGAGATGTTAAGTTGAATATCTTTGCCTAGTTAGAAAATTGGAGTTGCCCTTTACCTGAGCCCCAAAGCCCATTTTTGAAATCAGCACCCACTTAAAATGTAGCTCCAATCAATTGGATGCAGGCCTCCAGTGAATGTTTATCGAGATGGGGGAAAATGGGGTCTACATCATGAGAATAATGTGAACTGTGAGCATTCTGCCCAGAGAGCTGGGTTCTGATTGGGGTACTCAGCGGGGCAGGCAGGGGACATGGCAGGCTGGAGGAGCAAAGGGCCTGTGCAGGGTGTGAAGATGTGACAGGACAGGTCCTGCCTGGGCAGAGGCATGGAGCGGTCAGCCAGAGGTTGAGGATAGTCTGAGGAAACAGTGGGAGAGAAGGCAGAGGATGGGGGTTTATAACTGACGATAGAGGATTTTAAATGTCAGTTGGAGACATTTTCTCTTTGTTGTGTTTTTGTTTTCTAAGTAGCTGGGATTCAGGTTCAAATCCCAGCTCCATCACAACAAACTGTGTAACCTTGGACAAGTTACCTCCTGGTCTATAGGACGGGGGACAGACAAGGAGAGACTAGGGACAGTCTCTTGGTGCAGCTGCCCAGCTGTGCAGTCATAGGAGCCTGCTCAGAGGTGGCAGTAGGTGTGGAGGCTAAGAGACCAATTCATAGGGCTCGTTCCCTGACTGGGTCTGTGACAAGAGCAGAAAGAGGATGTGCGTCGGTGGTTTGAAAATCAGAAGCCTTGAACCTGCTGAACACCCTGCCCATCTCCTCCCAAAGAAGGGCTTCATAATAAGTAATAACAACAACAACACTAACAGTGATACCTGCAGGCGTTTCTTGAATACCTAGTAAATCAGCTCTTAGTTCATCTTCAGAGTAGTCTATGAGGTAACTTCTTGTTAGGACCATTTTCTAGATGAGGCTTGGAGGGGAAAACAGTTTGTCGGGTCCAGAGCCGGCAAGGGATGGGGCTGCTGCCTGAACCTGTCAGTGTAGATTGCAAATCCAGGGCCGTTTCCACTTCCTTGTGATCCTATACCGTGGAGCGGAAAGCCTGGCTACTCTGGGCCCTGTTGCCTTTGCAATTACAGAAAGCTGCCCACCAAGCTTTGCGGAGAGGCCTCACTGGTGCAGAGCTGGGCCATTGCCTCCATGTAAGGACAGAGAAGAAAGAGAAAAGACTCTCCTGATTCATGAGGTGTCTGGCAGGCCCGACTTACACAGACCAGGCCCCCAGTCCAGCACGATGGGGGATGCGGGCACCAGGGATGAGGCCCATCTCACTTCATCATGTCTGTTTTTATTACTGGGAAGAGTGCAATAGTGTTGCCTCCTTTCCATATTTCATCCCAGCCAGTGTGTGGTCTGCAGGAATAAAAACAGGGAGCTCACGCTAGTCTAAATAATTACTTTTTTAAAGCACACAAGCTTGCTTACAGCTTTATTGTGAAGATTTCTTTTTAATATGCAGCATGAAAGAATAATACTCTGTGTATAAAAAACACCCAGTGAGCTAAAGCTTGAACTAAAAGGGAAAAAAGAATATGATTGTTTGCACCACTTTCCCTAGTGCATAAAAAGTGATGCCCTTCTCCGAAGTTGACTCTGCACCTAGTAATTCAGGCAGATTTGTGCACGAAGCATGGGAAACCCACATTGGAAAATGTCTGCAAAGCAAGTCTTCTGAATGCCCACTTACACAATGTAGGCACAGCACTTTTTAATCTTCTTTTCAAAATCCTTGTGGCATTACCCCAGATGAGCAGAAATATTTAGCCCTGTACTCTTGGGAGCATGGTGAATGTTTGATAAACATAAATGTAGCTTAACTTACATGTTCCCTGAATAAAGTTTCCACCTATGAAAATAAAATAAAAAAACAGAGAACACTAAGTAAATTGCTTCTATACCAAGCGTTCAGTCCTATGACTTAGATCTAAAGAAAGTCTTGCTGCTAATGCAATGCATAAAGTATCACATCGTTATTAGAATTTCTTAACAGTGTTTTGGAGGCTTGATAGAAATTTCCCCCGAAAGAGAAATTCTTAAAATAGGACTCTGTATATTCAGATATTCCGGGAGCTAGTTGTTTAATGTTTTAAATTCTCAGGATGGTTTCAGCCAGAAGATGATCCTGAAGACTGTCTCTCCCCTCTGCCAGTTGCTGTTCCCCAACTCCTATAAAATAAAAAAATCACTGCAATCGATGGGAAGAACAGTCCTGCTTTTGATGCAGCAGCAGTGAAGGCTGCTATTGTTGGTTCGTGTCAGGAGCCTGTGAGGAGATGCTATTACCACCCAAGGGACTAGCCAGACAGGGCTTTCAGATTCCACTTTGAGGATGATGAGTCCAGCATATGTGGGCTTAATCCCTGGTCAGTTACCAGGTATCTCTCGTCATCTCCCTTTACCGGCCCCTTCCCTTTGATTTGGTGAGAGATGCAACAATAAATTTGACTTAAATGTACAACTGCCATGACTGTTTGCTTTTGGCAGTCTACTATATTTAGCTTTGTTCCTCGATGAAATTCTACAAAATAAATTCCTCTTAGGAACCAGTGCAGAGAGAGTAGACTCTGACGGTGTACAGGTGGCTATAAATACAAAATAAGATTTTTTAATAAAGCAGATCCAGAGTTACTATTATAAATGTACATATAGAATAGGGAATAACACTGATGGTTTGCATTGTTGTGTCTCTTTATACTTTCAAACACCAGAGAAAAAAAGCACCTTTGAAAGTAGTCATAGCTGCCTAAGGAACCACGTGGTGTTTGAGTTTATTAATCTTCATGTGATATGCCAGCTCTTCAGTTCCTGAGTTAAATTAGGAAGTGAACACGTCTTTATGCCTGTGGTGCATCTTCCTTCTGGTTTCCTGGACCCTTGCAGGAAACTCAGAAAATTGACTCAAGTGCTGGTTAATGTCAGCTGCCCAGTTATACTTAGTAATAATTAACTTATAAGATGAGTCATAACAATTAATGCTAAGATCTTTAAAAGCAAGGAAATATATGGATTCTATAACATATTAAAAATGTAATAAAATAAAAGGATAATGAATCAGTGACTCAGGTACCTCCCATATCATATTTTTAAGCTTCTTGAGGATAGAGACCCTCCCATTTCTTTGAATACACCCTATGTTAACAATGAACAGATGCTCAACGAACATTAGTTTAATTAAGTTAAAGGATGAGTCATAGCTTTAACATATTTTGTGCAATTTCTTTGTTTGTTTGTTTTTTAAAGTAGCAGTAAATAATCAGTCATCTTTGAAAACCAAGAGGGGAGCCCGGCCGGTGTGGCTCAGAGGTTGAGCGTCAACTTATGAACCAAGAGGTCATGGTTTAATTCCCGGTCAGGGCACATGCCCAGGTTGTGGGCTCGATCCCCAGTAGGGGGCATGCAGGAGGTAGCTGATCAATGATTCTCTCTCATCATTGATATTTCTATCTCTCTCTCTACCTCTCTCTTCCTTTCTGAAATCAATAAAAATATTTTAAATAAATAAATTAAATTAAAAATAAATAAATGATCTTTGGAACTCTCAATAGCTACAAAAGTATACAGATTATGCATCTGTTCATAGGGTACCGTCACCAGGCTTTAGCTCGGAGCTGTACGCTTTTCTGTCACACTCACATGGATGTTCCAGTTATAACTGGTAGAAGTTTTCATCCAGTTGCTTTGAGAAGAAGATCATTTCACTCGCATGTGAAAAATAATCACTTAACCATCTTAGAGATAATTCACTACCACTTCAACACATTACAAGACCTGGTCACTTTTTAGCTCTTTCAGTTACCACCACCGCAAGGCAGTTGGGACTTTTGGTCTTTTCACTATTAGAAGACAGAGGAAGTCATTACTTTGCCTTTGATTGGCAACTTAGTTTTTATTCAGCTGATTTCTTGTTCCTTTGTTTTCTAGTATTTTCTAACTTCTACATGTACCTATGTGATAGAACAACCCATCAGAATTCACGCCCACTGATCATGTCTCAGTGCCGTGCTGTTTTTGTTTCGTTTTGCTTTGCTTCATTTTGTATTAACAGCATTGCATCCGCCATTGCTTTGAAATCCCTCTGCCCCCTCACTTGTTCACATGTGCTGAGGCTTGGGCCTAAGTGTGTGTAGTAGCTGTGAGTCCTGCCTATCGAAAATAGTACCTTATATCTTGTCCTCTCAAATAAGATTATTCATCAACATTAGTTTTATATACAATACAAATATCTGTATGTGTTTACAGATAAATGTATGTGGACATATGTATAAATACATGTATATGTAGTGTATGTGTATAGATGGATAGATAGATACAGCATATTAAAAGCATTCTATTTTTCCCCTTTCCCAAAGCAGCAACTTGGATAACAGAATCTCAGAATTTAGATCCAGGTGGATCATGGCGACCTTCTAGGCCAGCGGTTCTCAACCTGTGGGTCACGACCATCGGGAAACACATATAGCCTATCAGATATTTACATGACGATTCATAACAGTAGCAAAGTTACAGTTATGAAGTAGCAACAAAAATAATTTTATGGTTGGGGGTCACCACAACATGAAGAACTGTATTAAAGGGTCGCAGCATTAGGAAGGTTGAGAACCACTGTTCTGGGCTGAGCCCCTGGGACTTGTTAGTATGGGTGGCTTGCTTCCATTCCCCATACTCTTTTTGTTTCCATAGATAAACATCATTCAGGGAATCGTAGCAGAAATCAACATCAAGACTGGGGAATCTGAATGCCATTATTATAAAGAACGGCTTCTTTACTTGGAAGAAGGCCAGAAGGACTCTCTGATCGACAGCTCGAGAGTGCTGTGCTGTCATGGCGAACTGAAGAACAACCGGGGCATGGTGAGTGGTTACTCCCCTTCAGTGGTCTCTCCCTGGGCCTTCCCCAACACTTAATCCATTTGATGCTGAGCCTCCTGTTACTATGCCTTCCCTACCCAGGGTCATGTTCTTTAGACAAAAATGGCTTTTCCATTGTCTTTTATATCAGAGAATCACATATATTATACTAGAGGCTCAGCGCGCGAAATCGCACGAGACCCAGACCCGCCCTGCGCAAGCCGCGGGCCCCGCCTCCACCGCACCAGCCCCGTGCCAGCCCCACCTCGCCGCGAGTCCCGGCCCGCGAGAGGTGCTCCATGTACCTCCTGGTGACCAGTTGTTTGGTCGTTCTGTCGTTACGGTGTCATGACCACAGGCCTTTTATGATATAGATGGTTATAATCCTATATAATTAAAGGGTAATATGCAAATTGACCAAAAAGCTGAACAACTGGTCGCTGTGACGCACACTGACCACCAGGGGGAAGACATTCAACACAGGAGCTGCCTCCTGGTGGTCAGTGCACTCCCACAGGGGGAGTGCTGCTGGGCTCATGGCTGGCGAGTGTAGCGGTGGTGGTAGGAGCCTCTCCCACCTCCACGGCAGCGCTAAGGATGTCTGATTGATGGCTGGGGAACAGGCCTAAGCCGTCAGTCGAACATCCCCCCAGGGCTCCCGGACTGCAAGAGGGCGCAGTCTAGGCTGAGGGAACCCCCCGAGTGCAGAAATTTTGTGCACAGGGCCTCTAGTTTATATATAACATATATTACAAATACATGTTTATAATTTTTGTATACACATATATTTTTTAATTTTATGACCATAACATAGAAAGAATTTTGGAAAACAACATAGAGTTGCCAATGTTTTATTTTGTTTGATCGTAACCTTCTAAAGCAAACACAGAACAGTTATCTCCTCCCACTTGGATATCAGGAAACAGCGGGTGATCTCAGGGAAACAGCTCTCGCATGGAGTGCATTTAGCATTGTGAGAAGCTCTTTTCTTTCGTAGGATTGGTACCCATCTACAGACTGACATTTTGAGACCAATGTTTTGTTTTTTTAAATAGTAACCTACCTTCCATTAGCTGTGTATCTACCTCTGACCTATAGATACCCCATTTCCTGGCTTTTATTCTTGAGTAGATATTGAAATTGTTCTTCCTCTCCTATCATGGCACCTTGGACAAGTCTCCCCTGGAGTGCTTACTGCAGTGGGTTGCAGTTCTCCACCTCTCTGTCAGTATCTCCTGTTATACCATACTCTTTGAGAGAGGACTGTGCTGTGTCAATTCCCAGAACCTATTATGAGTGAGTGAATGAATGAATGAGTGAATGCTTATATAAAGGATGAATTTGAATTATATGAGAGTTCAAAATTCATTCAACTGACCAGGCTATTTTTATGTATAGTCAGTAGAAAATAATGCTAATACATGTTATATGTTATAATTTTTATGTTATAATGTAAAACGTATTTTATATAACATAAATTTTATTATCTACACTATATATTTAAATTCAGTTTTGAGAAAGAGTCTCCACTTTTACTGTATTTTACCTTCAGTATCTTGGAATGAAAGCCAAAACTATATTTATATTTTAAACATATTTGTATTGATTTCAGAGAAGAAGGGAAAGAGAGAGAGAGAGAGATAGAAACATCAATGATGAGAGAGAATCATTGATCGGCTGCCTCTTGCACATTCCTAGTGGGATGTGCAAGCCCATAACACAGGAATTGAACCGTGGCCTCCTGGTTCATAGGTCGACGCTCAACCATTGAACCACGCTGGCTGGGCAGCCAAAACTATATTGAAGAGTTCTTAATCGAGCTGTGATAATTCAAGGGATATCATTTGACCTGGACTGTGAAATGGCGTTTAAGAGCAGGCTTGGAAATGTTACTTGAAATCACTGAATACATGTCGCAGCACCCATTATCAGTGCTGCAGGGGAGGTAATGAGACCTGTCGCAGACCACTGCTTAAAAGGTGTTTCTCTTTGACTAGGGAGTGGCCAGTGGGTAGAAAGCTGCATTCTGCTTCTGGCTGGTTTTTGGAAAGCACTGGTGGACTTGTAACACTGAATGCTCTGGCTCCTTGACCACACATTTTTAGAAGCTCTGTGGGAAATTGTCAGGAAGAGGCAGTGCTCCATGGGATGAGGGCCTATTCTCTTTCTGTCCCTCAGTCAAGGACTGAGACTGGTTGGATGGGTAGGGCATTTAAGATGAACTCTAGTTCATATGGCAGGCAGACAGGTTTTTGAGAACAAAGATAGTAGTTGAGATGGGAGGTTTGTTTTAGCTATTTTCCCCCTCCCCGGTAGAATTGTAGAAATCATTATAAGCAAAATCTTGTGTCAGGAAAAGAACCCAATTTCTTGAGGGCAAAAAGAAGCAGAAAATAGGAACAGGAATCCTCAATGAGCATTCATAAGTAAGGGATAATGAATCTTTGTAAAGATTTTCCAGATACTGCCCTAGCCGGTTTGGCTCAGTGGATAGAGCTTCAGCCTGCAGACTGAAGGGTCCCGGGTTCGATTCCGGTCAAGGGCACGTACCTCGGTTGCAGGCTCCAGGGCGAGTGCAGTAGGCAACCAATCGATGTTTCTCTCACATCGATATTTCTCTGTCTTTCCCTCTCTCTTCTACTCTCTCTGAAAATCAATGGAAAATACCCTTGGGTGAGGATTAAAAAAAAATTTTTTTTTAAAGATTTCCCAGATACAGTATAGAGCAGTGATGGCGAACCTATGACACGTGTGTCAGAGGTGACATGCGAACTCATTTTTTTGGCTGATTTTTCTTTGTTAAATGGCATTTAAATATATAAAATAAATATCAAAAATATAAGTCTTTGTTTTACTATGGTTGCAAATATCAAAAAATTTCTTATGTGACACGGCACCAGAGTTAAGTTAGGGATTTTCAAAATGCTGACACGCCGAGCTCAAAAGGTTCGCCATCACTGGTATAGAGTTTCCTCAAAAAATTAAATATGGAACTGCCTTTTGACTCAGCGATCCCACTTCTAGCAATATATCCTAAGAATCCCAAAACACCAATCAAAAAGAATATATGCACCCTATGTTCATAGCAGCATTATTTATAATAGCCAAGATCTGAAAGCAGCCCAAGTGCCCATCAGTAGATGAGTGGATAAAGATGCTGTGGTACATTTACACAATGGAATACTACATGGCTGTAAAAAAAGAAGGAACTCTTACCCTTTGTCACAGCATGGATAGACCTGGAGAGTATTATGCTAAGTGAAATAAGCCAGTCGAGAAAGACAAATATCGTATGATCTCACTAATATGTGCAATCTAATGAACAAAATAAACTGACAAGCAAAATAGAACCAGAGGCATGGATTCATGGAACAGACTTGACAAATGTCAGAGGGGAGGCGGGTGCGGGGAACTGAGTAAAAGAAGGTGGAGACAGTAGCCAAAGAACATATATAGATAGGCCTTGCACACAGACAACAGTATGATGAAGGCTAGGTGAGGGGGTGTGGGGACTGGGTGGAGGTGATCAAAGGGGCAAGGGGTTGGGGACATCTGTAATAGTGTCAACAATAAAAAATTGTTTTAAGGGAAAAAAAAAAGATTTCCCAGATAATCTGAGTTCAAACTGCCTACAGTGGCTATAAGATTGATTTAAGTAGAAACAGTATAAATATCTCTGATAATGTTTAGTGTGTACAACGATGACCAATCCCTTCTCTCCTTGCCCAAAAACAAAAAGTTTTAACACATTTTTTGTACCACTTCTCCCCTAAAAAAAGCCCTTCACTTGGTTATTTTGTGCTTTACTATGTTTTCAACTATTTTAAATGCGTATTTAGTCATTTTGATAAACAAACTCTCACTCCTCAAACCTCTCCTCCCCTCCCCCTGCCACAATACAGAATCATCATCTGTGTTTCCACCAGCCAACATTTGGTTGAGCTTTAGTTTTTGGTGTGCATGTGTGTGTGCATATGCATGTGCATGCATGTGTGTGTGTGTCTGTCTGTCTGTGATGGGGTGGGGGTAGGTATCACTTCTCCCAAATAGGAAAGTATCTGAGAATGCTGAATGTGCTTCCGCTGCCCCAAATCAAGATTCTAGATGGGTGAGAAAGGTGAAGGGGAGTAATAGGTGCAAACTTCCAGTCATAAATTAATTACGTCACGGCATGTAATGTACAGCACAGGGAATATAGTCGGTTATATCATAGTAATTTTGTATGGTGACAGATGGTTACTGGACTTAACATAGTAATCACTTTGTAAGGTACATAAATATCAAATCACTATGTTGTATACCTGAAGCTAGTAACATTGTGTCAACTATACTTTAATAAAAAAAGAAGATAATAAGATACTACCAGGAACAAGTTTATGCCAATAAATTTGAAAAATTATTTTCTCTTACTTCTTGAGTAATAGAAAAATACATACTATTCTATAACAAAAAACAAACAAACAAACATTTTCAGTGTGAGTTTCTACCCATTTCCTTTTTGAGACTTTTAAGTTGACAATCCCAAATACTTCCAAATACTAGAAAACCAAATCCCAGCTGCAAAGTGGTGGATCTTTTCACTTCACTCCCTAAGCATTTCCAACAGAAGAGTCTGGCACATGGAACTGAATGGAGCCAGTTTACCGCCCCCCCCCGCCCCCCGGCAAAATTGCTTTCATGATGTGGTTTGACACAAGCCTTTATTTTTGAGATTTTCTTTTGCCCACAACACACACATCGGTCGTCAGCCTTTTAAACACAACCTCTTCAGAGAACTGAGGTTCTGAGGAACTCAACTGAGAAGGACGACGTCTTTGATCCTCTTTCTCTTGGCTGCGGCAGCATGCTCTGGTTTCCCTGGGAATGGGCAGTGTTCCGAGGGGGGGTGCCTGCATGAAGCTGATAATCAGCTCTGTGGTTGAAGGAACAAGTGTTTTTTTGAGTTTGGGAAGAAGAGATTAATATTAGGCTTTGATATACCAGTCTCATCCTTTATAGACTACTAGAGGCCCGATGCATGAGATTCGTGCAAGAGTAGGCCTTCCTTCCCCCGGCTGCCGGCACCAGCTTCCCTCTTGCACCTGGGACCCGGGCTTCCCTCCCAGCCCTGGCTTCATCCAGAAGGTCGTCCACAAGGATGTCAGGTCTAATTAGCATATTATGCTTTTATTATTATAGATAGATTATTCATTTTGATCTCTTAGAATTATATTGAGTAATGTAAACCAAAGTCAGGGAGGTACTATCTCCCCCCCCCCGCCATTACCCCCTTTTATTCTGTTCCCCTTTTTTATTTTTTTCTTATGGAAGCTGGGACCGTGTGTGTCTGCACAGGTTCTGAATTGCAATGTGAAGGCAGTCCTGGCTGCTGGTGTCTGTAGGCAGAAAGGCCTTCTCCACGGGGCCTTCGGGAGGCTCCTATAAGAAAGGCAATGGGTGCATCTGGGACCTGCCTGACTTCTGTTCACCTGGAGGTGGACTTGAGCCTGAAGTGTATAATCCAGTGTGAACTTGGTACCTGTGGACCTCTTAGTCCAGTAATCAACCACTCATTAGATTGTTGCTTAGGGACATCCTGTGGATTCTTCTCTTCTAGAAACTGCACGTTTTCCTGTTCCAAGAAGTGCTGGTGATCACTCGAGCCATCACCCACAATGAGCAGCTCTGCTACCAGCTGTACCGGCAGCCGATCCCTGTGAAGGACCTCCTGCTGGAAGACCTGCAGGATGGAGAAGTGAGGCTGGGCGGCTCCCTGCGAGGGGCATTCAGCAACAATGAGAGAAGTATGACGACAGTTTGTTTTGACCTGTTGAACGTTTAGTGCAATGGTGGTTCAGAGGGTGTGGCTGGCTGGTGAAAAGAGAAGAGCCATGGCCTTGGAGTTGAACTGCATCCCAGAGCTAGCTCAGTGCTTACTGATTGTGTAGCTTTGTTCAATCTCTGTGCGCCTCGGTTTTTCATGTACAAAGTGGGGATACGTGCAGACCTACTCCAGAAGGTGGTCTTAAGGGTTAAGTAAGATACTGCAAGTGAACCTGCCTATACATAACTGAACTGGTGCTTTTTAAGCTTCCTTTCTCTCTGTCTTTCTCTTTATAAAAGCGTGCTTAATACCAGATAGTCCCTATGTGGATACCAGTTGCATAACAGTGCCTTTTGTAGTTGAGCTGGCAGGCTTGTCTCTAAAGAGACATAAGAATGGTCGATTGGGCTGCGGGTTCGTTTGTACTTACCATACTCCAATAAGCTTCTCTAACTTGAGACTGAATAAACAAAGGCGTTAACCAAGAGAAGCTAAGATAGCCATGTCTATCGAGTATCTTCTACGTGTCAAGCACTCTTCTAGGCACTAGTACACCCTGGTGAACAAACAGTTAAATGCCTTGCTCCTATGGAGTTTACATTGTGATGAAGGAGGAGATAGATGAGAAACAGCTTAAATATTCTGGGTGCTGTTAAGGATACTAAAACCAAGTAAGGGAATAGATGGGGATAGCAATAGGCGACCTGTTTTAGATGAGATGGTCAGGGCAGACTTGTTTGAGAAAGTGACATTTTGACTTTTGAGGTAACATTGGCATCATATTGTCAGAGTAATTAGTATGTACTACCTCTTAGCTACTCATCAGTCCTCCACCCTAGTGATGGTAGTAGTAGTAGTAACTTCTATTTCTTGAATACTGGCCCTGTGCCAGGCATTGTATAAGGACTTCTGTTATTCCTCATAGTAATCTCATAAGGCAGATTCTCTTTGTTTCCCTCATTTTACAAATAAGGAAACTGAGACATAGAGGAGTTAAGGCGCTTGCCCAAGACAAAGAGTGGAGCCCGAATGTATCTGAGGGGATGGCTCCCAGTCTTGACTACAGAGTCATGCAAGGGAACTGGCTGGATGCAGATCCTTCTTGAACCAAGCGGTGCACGTGGCACGTGGGGCCATTAAATGCCAGTTGATGTTGTTGTTATTAAACTAAATAAAATGTCTTGCATAGGTGCACTACTGGCTTTTAAATGCACATAATTCCTGTTGAGATCTTAAAAATGTAATTTCATTTTTAAATGAAACCGAATTTATAACCGCTCTGCGTCATTGCCTATCTTCTCAATCACTGGATATAAATGAAAAGGTTCCATTGTGGAGGTTCATAGGCATGTTTTGATGTTACAAAGAGCTTCTGAAACTTGAAATGCTCTCTAGGTGAGGAAATTGTTGAAATTACAGACTACCAGGCACACCCTAGACCTAGTGATTCCGAATCTCTAAGGGTAGGACCCAGGTATCTATGTTTTTAATAAGCTCCCCAGGTCATTTTGATAACGCAGCCAGGTTGGGTGACCAGTACTCTGGGGTCCCCTGAAACATGACTTAGTTTTTTCAGGGCTGATACCCATTTGCTAGCTTCTGAGGGCAACTGAGAGCTAGACCTGTGTCAACTCTGGTTGACTGATGGTGGCTGCAGGGCACTTCTGAGCCATGTCCTGGATCCGTGGGACATATTTTGTAATCAGTCAGTGATGCCTGTGCCAGGGGGACCTGGGGCTTAGTGTCACGACATGTGTTATCTTGGCCTGGGAGGATATCTGTCCATTGACCTTTTTTTTCATGTGTTTTCATTTCTAGTTAAAAACTTCTTTAGAGTAAGTTTCAAAAATGGATCCCAAAGTCAGACCCACTCACTACAAGCCAATGACACCTTCAACAAACAGCAGTGGCTCAACTGTATTCGTCAAGCCAAAGAAACAGTGCTGTGTGCTGCCGGGCAGGCTGGGGTGCTCGACTCCGAGGGACCGTTCCTAAATCCCGCCGCCGGGAGCAAGGAGCCGCAGGGAGAAACGAAACTTGAGCAGATGGACCAATCGGACAGTGACTCAGACTGCAGTATGGACACGAGTGAGGTCAGCCTCGACTGTGAGCGCATGGAACAGACAGACTCTTCCTGTGGGAACAGCAAGCATGTTGAAAGCAATGTCTGACAGAAGCAAGTACTTCCTGGAAGTAGCCCTGAGTCTTACCTGTACAGTATTTGCATTCCACTCATGGAACGGTTTGGAGAAGCACTTTTTAATATGTTGTGACCGTGTTGACCCAGTCTCTCGTGTCTGTATCTTTGTCCCCAGTACTGTAACTGCCCGTCTGTCTGTGTAAGCTGGAATCTGTGGCCTGTTCTCCTGTATTGTATTTCACAAGTGTCTGGATGGATCAAGAGGTACTTGAACAACTTATTTTCAAATGTCCTGCTGGATTTTAAAAAACAGAAAAGGAGTCTCTAAACTACTGTTTCATGTAGATTCTTAAAGAGTCCTTCCATGTTTCCTAGTGCTTTTCTAGCTCTTTGGTGTGGTGGCTGAAGGCACAGAGGTTAGGGGGCCTTGCACACAGGGCACGAGGAAGGCGTTCGTGTGCCCTGATGGCATTCGAAGGAAAACCGGGAAAGATCAATCCTGGCAGTGAACTTGATTCGATGTTATACAACCACAAAGCATGTAAACATCCCTGGGGGCCCTGGAGGCTTCATTTTGCAAAGGAAGAAATACCCTCCTGACCTTGTCGTGTCATCCAGTGAAAATCTGATGCAATAATCTTAGGACATGAACTAGAGTCTGGCCTTAACAGGACCAGCACAAACGCAGCTGTCAGCTCTGAATCTTGAACTGAAATGTGCATTGCACCCGGAGTCTCTGTCATCATTGCTGGCTTGCCTAGGAGAGCCATTTCTAGCCTAAAACACGAGAATAAATCTCAGAGCGCCTGGGAAAACCCGGCAGGATAGCAAGGAAACCCATCTCCATTGTGTTTCATCTGCCAAGGTCTCCATTGTGTTTCATCTGTTAGAGCATGAATGAAGGGATGAGGAAAAAGGACTGAAACCGAGTCAGCAACTCTGTTTATAGAAACGTGAGAAGAATTTGGAAGAAGTACGTTCATCAGGACCTTACGCGAGAAATAGTAAAAGAGAAAAGCAAGGCCCAGCACCCTTCTGGAAGCAGCCGGAGCCTCGGGCTTTCCTGCTCTGCTTTTGGGTCCTGAGGTTGCCGTCTCTGGCTCTGTGTTGGGAATCACAATTACCTTCTCCAAAGGCCAACTTAATTAAGTCTATGATTAATTAGGATCAGGTAGCCAAACTAGTATCTCTTTGTCCAGCCTTGATTTACAGCGCCAAGTGGGTCATAGACCTTTAAAAAAGTTAACTGAATACTCAAAAGCTCCTGCGAGTGTAAATATTAGGGGTGACCTGTGCAAAGTTATACCCACACCAGCACTAGTAGTGATGATGCTAAATTATTGCCAAAAAGGTTTTTTTTTAATCTTCTGTGTCTTTCAAGTTTACAGAAAAGAAAGCAGTAAATACTATGTTGTCATTTTATTACATACAGCTATCATGTGCATTCAGAGAAGCGGTGTAACAAGATTTATCAATATAGAAACAAGGTATATTACTTATTTTTCAAAAACAAAAAATATTGTGGTCAATTTTACCCTGTAAGCTTATTTCTGTATTTATAGATCTTAAACATGGTGAAATTTTTTTCCTATTGCAAGTTTATTTAAAACTGCTTCGTTTCTCAAGTTGTTACTGATTTGGGGAGTGAATGAACCTGCTGCAGACAGAAGCAGAGAGAAGGTGTTTGATGTCGGGAAAAAGAATGACTCGTTCTTTGCAGGAACCATCGGCCACTTTGGCCAGTGCGTCAAGAAAAGAGGTCTGTCAAGAGCTGACCTTTGGGAAGAAAGTCAATGAATGTTTTGATGAAATGAATGTTTTTGTATTATGGCCTTAAACTTTCTGGGAGTATTTCCAATAAATTACTTTAAAATGTTGTCCTCTTTGTGTGCAGTCTATACTCTACAAACATCAAATTTCAACTACCTCCCCGGGAGGTTCTTTCCAAAATTTTTGCTTGTTCCCAAATGCAAACTTTAAAAGAGGGTGCAGGTTGAAATGAATGCTTTGATCTATCAAAGCTTTTGCAGAACTCAGTATTTCTAAGATCATTCTCTGCTCATCCACTTATCCATTTATTAGTTTTTAACAACTCTATCTTGAATCTGTACTATGTGTCAAGTGATAAGTCGGAATTCTTATAGAAAAGAAGTATTGGATCTCACTGTTAGTATAGGTGACTGTTGAAGAACTCAAGGCTAAACAATGGAAGGCAAATTTCACTTTGAAATTCTTTGGTTAGTTTTATAGTAAAACCTTGATATAATGGACTAATTTGAGTGGGGGTTGTCCGTTAAAGCTGGAAGTACATTGTACAATAAAGTTGGTTTTCTGAATGCTTATGTTAAAAAATTGACAAATTAGTTAGCTTACCTGTTTTTACTTAGGTAGACAGGTTTGTGTAATTAACATTAAGTATCTAGGAAAAGTTTAATTTCACAGTTTTCTACATGCATTATAGTAGTTTAAAATTTATACCCAATAGGTCTAGTAAATGCTTGCATTCACCAGCCACCTTGAGTAAACAAATGCACATGGTTGGGGCGTGGTTTAGGGCATTGTCCCCTGGGAACTGCTGCAGAAAGTCATGCCACCACGTGGGTGGGTGGGTGGGAAGAGATCAACCAAAGAACTTGCATGCATATATACATAACCCATGGACACAGACAATAGGTTGGTGAAGGCCCAGGGTGGGGGATTGTGTGGGCTAGAAGTGATCAGTGGAGGGAAAAAAGGCATATGTAATACTTTCAACAATAAAGATTTAATTTTTAAAAAAATCTGAAGTCCGTTAAATTGAGGTCCACAAAATCAAGGGTTTATTGTATTCCCCCAAAGAGTGGTTTTAGGATGAAAAAGTTCAACAGTTTTAAGCTGCTGGTAACCAATTGTCAATAGCATGCTAGTCCAATAAAGCTGGTAATTGGTCTTCTCTTACCATTTTCTTTAACATACTGTTAATTTCCAGAGTAATCAAAATGTTCACATAAATTTAACTCCAAATATTTTTCCCAAATGACAACTCCTCCCTCCTTGTTCTCCTTGTCTCCTTCCCCCTCCTTCCTTTTCAGCCTTCTTGTCCTTCTTCAGGGCCACTTTGGCTATTCCTCCAACTTTTCGCTCCAGGATTGTATTGACCTCTATACTCGAGTGTATCTGTACTAGCATGTTAGAAAACATCTTTACTGACAGTAGTGGGTTAGTACAAATGACTGAGGGCAGAATGGTTTTCTTCAGTCTACTTGCAGGATGTTATCTGACACACAACTAAATGTAACCCTCACAGTCTAAATGAAGTCACACGCCAAGAAAAGAGCCACAGCTAGCAGTTTTGTGCAAAATTAGAGTGTGGTTTCAGCTTCTGGGTTGTGGTCACCACCGCCGACTGCTTTTGTTTCCATTCCTAGCACAGTCTGCAGCAGCTGAGACTGAAGAGCTCTTCATAACAGTCCTGTTTTAACCATGTCTCTGTGCTTGCAGGAAATGGCAACCCTCCATTTTGGTGAGCTAGCCACTCAACTTTTCATTTAAATTCAGCCCATGCCCACCTACAAATTCTCCACCAGCCTGAGGACACTGGAAGGTTTGATAAAGAGAACATCTGACCACTCGGGCTCCCCTCAGCATGGTAGAAAAGCCCTCTTATTGATGCAGTTGATTCATTTAAGTCATGCTACCTTGTTTATTGGCAGAATGGTAGAATTACAGTGCGGGAAGGGAATTTGAAGAGGGTCCCTGAAGCCCAAACCCACCAGAAGGAATCTGAAGATGATGGAGATTGAAAACCTTGCCCACATGAACACACAATGAGAAAAGACAACTGTATTCAATGTACCTCAAGAGTACTTATGCAAACAAGTTTGCAGATCACTGCTCTTCATGTCACATCTCCTACCAACGAAGCGTGTCAGTCAGCTCTGTACATCTACCCAAAGAAGCAGTTCATTAATTGACCTGGAAGACATACAATATCTTATTAGTTTCACATACAATATAGTGTTTTAATATTTATATTGTATGGCAACTATAATTTAACAAACAAAAAAATGTGCAAATAAGAAATTGATCACAATTAGCAAAGCAAAAAATTTTTTTCTTACAAAAAACAAACAAAACAAAAATAAATTTGGAAACAGCTTCCCAAAAAAATGACCTGGTGGATTAGAAAAAAATTAGAAACCAGGCTCTGCTTCTTCAGGAAACTGGATATGCATTCCAAGCAACTTGTCCCCTTACACATGTTCAGAAACAAACACACCTAAATATTAGTGAATGGTGTTATCTATGAAGGTTTGAAAAATGTCATTCTAGGTTTCCTATTCAGTGTATCTACTTATCCCATGTCTGTGAAAGGGGGACAATGTTAGCCCTCAGGCGGTTTAAAAGGTGAAATAGTGTATGTGAAATCACTCTGAACACTATTAAGAGCTTATAGTTTTCATTGGGCTGGCTGCATCTCTTGACATGAAGTCACAGCTCCACTCTGAATTCCAGTAATCCTTCCAGCCTAGGGAAGGATTTAATAATGACTTTTAAATCTGCACGTGGTGTTATGAAATGTCTTAAATGTATGGCCTTGGCCTGGATCTTTTTCATTCATTGTGCTGCATACTTGGGAGGGGGTGGGGTTCTGAGTTCAGAGAATCTGGAATATTTCCCTGTATTTTTGGTATTTTCCTTCCTACAATTTTCTGTTTTCTTTTTCAGGAACTCCAGAAAGAGAGATCTTGAACCTCCTGAATGTGGCTTCTTACCTCCGGGGTTGATTTTCTTATTGATATTATCTCTTTATTCCTATTTTCCCCCGTAGATATTATTCTCTCTTGGTGGATTTCCTCACCTTTATCTTCTGGCATAAAAATGCTGAGTTAATCACAGCAGACTGATACTACAAGAAATGTTAAAGGATCTTCTTTCAATAGAAAGAAAACAATAGCAGATGGACATATGAATCCACACAACAGAATGAAGAGCATTAAAATGCAACTATGTAGAAAAATAGAAAAGACTTTTATTATTTAAATCTCTTTAAAAGTATTAAGTTCTAGCCCTGGCCAGGTACTTCAGTTGGTTAGAGCATTGTCCCAGTACACCAAGATTGCGGGTTCAATCCTGGTCATGTACAAGAATCAACCAATGAATGCATAAGTAAGTGGAACAACAAATCAATCTCTCAAATCAATAAATTTAAAAAAATTTTAATAAAAGTATTGCATTCTAATCATTATGGAGTAACAAGGACTAGATTTACCTTCCACCTAAAACAACCAAAAGAAAAGAAAAAAAGAAAGGCAACATACATGACATTATGGTTTTGAAGAGACTGGACACCAGGCAATGAAGGACAGTGACCTTGAGAGAAGGGGAGCCCTATGATTGCTCCAGTTTACAGCCTTGAGGGGGTTTTCAGGCAGCAGTGCAGGAGGGGAACCCAATAGAATCCAGTGAACCCCCTGAGTGGAAGAGATGTAGCTGAGAGTTGACAGAGGCCAAGGCAGCTACAACCTAGAGGACACAGGAGAGCACTGCATGGCGAGAGAACCTTGAATCTGCAGAGGGACCCCCTCAGGCACTCATCTGTGTGCTGATCGATGCACACATGTAAGAAACTATCCAAGGGTGGGGAAACTATCCAAAAGGGTTAGAGGGAACTCACAGTGCTGGAAATAGTGCCTGTTCCCACAAACCGCACTAGAAGAATATCATCAGTGGGTAAAGTACTCAGAAGGACCTACTTTCAGTAGCTCTCAAATAAGCAGTACTGTGATTCATCTCACAAGTCTTAAAAGAAAGGCCGAAAAGAACCAAACTATTTCCAAGTAACATAACTGCATCCCATAACAAAGCTCAAGAATATTTATAGGGCCCTAACCGGTTTGGCTCAGTGGATGGAGCGTCGGCCTGAGGACTGAAAGGTCCCAGGTTCGATTCCGGCTAAGGGCATGTACCTTGGTTGTGGGCACATCCCCAGTAGGGGGTGTGCAGGAGGCAGCTGATCGATGTTTCTCTCTCATCGATGTTTCCAACTCTCTATCCCTCTCCCTTCCTCTCTGTGAAAAATCAATAAAATATATTTTAAAAAAAAGAATATAGGAATACAAAAGTATCCAGCACATAACGGGGCAAAATTCACAGAGCCTGCCATCCAATCAAAGACTACAAGGCATGCCAAGAAGCCGGAAAATGCAACCCATAGTGAAGAGGAAAATATAAAAAACAATTTAAAACAACCCAGAACTGAAACAAATTCATTAGTGCCACAATGAGATACCACTACTCACCCATTATAAATCTAAATTTAAAAGTTTAAAAGATGAACCATGGCCAATACCATATGAAAAGATACTTGACATCACACCCATTAGGATGGTTACTATTAAAACAAACAGAAACCCAAAAAACAAGAAGTGTTGGTGAGGATGTGAAGAAATTGGAACCCTTGTGTCCTGTTGGTAGAAATGTAAAATGGTGCAGCTGCTATGGACAATAGTATGTAGAAGAAGTAGTTGCACACCTGTGTGCATAGGAGCATTATTTACAATAGCCAAGAGGTGGAAACAAAGTGGATGAATGGATAAAGGAAATGTGATATATACATACAATGGAATGTTATTTCACCTTAAGAGAAAAATCCTGTTGTATGGTACAACATGGGTGAGCCTTAAGGACATTATATTAAGTGAAGTAAACCAGTCACAAAAAAGATAAATTATTGCATGATTCCACTCATAGGTGGTATTTAAAGTAGTCAAATTCATAGAAACAGAAAGTAGAATGGTGGTTACTAACAGCTGGGCAAGGGGGAGGAGGAAATGGAGAGTTCTTGTTTAATGAGTATAGAGTTTTAGTTTTGCAAGTTGGAAAAGTTCTGGAGATCTGTTGTACAACAACATGAATGTATTTAACACTCCTGAACTGCACACTTAAGATGGTAAAGTTCATGATCTGTGTTTTGTACCACAATTAGAATAATAAATAAAAATAAAGACTGCCCTAACCGGTGTGGCTCAGTGGATAGAGCATCGGCCTGTGGACTCAAGGGTCCCGGGTTCGATTCGGTCAGGGGCATGTACCTTGGCTGCGGGCACATCCCCAGTGGGGAGTGTGCAGGAGGCAGCTGGTCGATGTTTCTCTCTCATCAATGTTTCTGGCTCTCTATCCCTCTCCCTTCCTCTCTGTAAAAAATCAATAAAATATATTTTAAAAAAATAAAAATAAATAAAAAAATGAAGACTAACCAGACTTCTGGTTCAGATAAGATGGTGCAGGCTCATTACTTCCCACTAAGTACAGCTATAAATCCTGGAAATAACACAAGAGACAACCAAAGAAAAACTCTGACGGATAGTAACAGGAAGGTGAACTGGTTTGGGACCCCAGGACCGGAGGAACACACAGTGGCAGGGGTCTTCTGACCTAACGGAAGAAGGTGATCCATGCCCAGCATTTCTTTACTTAGCAACAGCAGGCAGCCCAGATAGGCTCACGCCTCCCCGGATCAAATAGAAGTCCCTCTGGCAGCACCAGATGAACTCAGTACCACCTGCAGAGGGGATTTCTTAGGAGTCTTGCTAACCATAAGCTCCCAGGAGGTATTCTCCATCCCCACCAGGCCTGAGAATACCCTTCTCCACCAAGAAGTACCACAGGGACCGTGAACAACAAGCCCAGGAAGCGAACTTGTCCCCATGGGCCTGTGACCACCTCCCCAACTTAGAGACAGCCCTTCTTCCCCCTCAGCACCGGCAGGAACCAGTGGGAGCCCCATCCACATTCTGAAAATTAAATGGCCTTTGGAGCCACAGTCCACAAAACTGGGGCAGGACCGACAGGCTAAACAGGGTAATTGTCTACTAAAAGTAAAATACTTGATTAAGACCCAGTGTCCTTACATAATTAAAAAATGCCCAGAATACAATTAAAAAGTCTATCATACCAAAACCCAGGAAAATTACAACTTGTATAAGAAAAGACAACCCATTGATGCCAACAACAAGATACGTCAAATTCTGGCATTATCTGACCAGGATTTTAAAACAGCTGTCACAAAAATGCTTCAAATATCGATTACAAAGTCTCTTGAAACAAAATTTTTAAAATAGATCGTCTCAGCAAAGAAATAAAACACAAAACAGTATCAAAAGAAAATTATAGAACTTAAAAATGCAATTACAGATTTTTTTTTTTAAACCCTTTGAATGGGCTCAGTAGTAAAGTGGAGGTGACAGACACTAGAATCAGGAACTTCTGGAGAGATTAACAGAATTTATCTGAACCACAGAGAGAAAACTAAAAAGAAAGAAATGAACAGAGCCTAGGCATCTATAAGACGGAAAAGAAAAATCCAACATTGGCATCACACACATCCCCCGAATGAGTGCAAGTAAAACTGAGGAAATCTGAGTATGACTGGCGTATGTTATCAATGTCAATATCCTGGTTGTGATATTATTCTATAGTTTAGCAAAATGTTACCATTGAGGAAAACTGGGTGAAGGGCCAACAGGATCTCTTTGTATTATTTATTACAACTGCATGTAAATCTACAATTATTTCAATAAAGTTTTTCAATTAAAAGATCACCAGATGTGCCCTGGCCAGTTTGGCTCAGTGATTAGAGCATTGGCCCTCAGACCAAAGAGTCTCAAGTTCAATTCCTGGTCAAGGACACATATAGCACCAGTAGGGGCGTGTGCTGGAGGCAACCGATGGATATGCCTTTCTCATGTTGATGTTTCTCTCTATTTCTCCCTTCCACTTTCTTCGAAGAACTCAATGGAAAAATTATCCTCGGGCAAGGATTTAAAAAAAAAAGAGCACCAGCTGCAATGTGGAGAATGAATAGCAAATGCTGGAGAAGCAGGTGTCGGGAAGAATACCGTGAGTTCAGGTTTGTACATGTTAAGCTGGAGTCTCCTATTGAGACACCAAGTAGCAGGACAGGCGATTGAGTT